ACACAGCCTCTTGTTGCTAGGATTCTCTTGCCTTGCAGGTGACCCTCTTCAGGTGACCTTCAGTGTTCACTCTAGCCACAGCAGACTCAGGTGTCTTTACCACTTCTAGCTGTGTGCCTTCGGGCTACTTCACAGATGTTCCCTCTTCGCTTAGCAATTTCTCTCCCTCTCTCCTGCCCCTTTTCCTCTTGCATGATATATTTTTTTAGCTGCATAAGTTATTTTAATTGTAAGTTCATAAAAGTCTACAATAAATGCATCATCTTACAAAATAATACCCTATGAGAGTATATAAAAATGACTGAGCCAACATTATTTGGTACTTTTTTTTTTTTTTTTTTTTTTTTTTTTCGCAGGGGTCTCACTTTTTTGGCCTCTCCCGTTGCGGAGCCCAGGCTCCGGACGCGCAGGCTCAGTGGCCATGGCTCATGGGCCCAGCCGCTCCGCGCCATGTGGGATCCTCCCGGACCAGGGCACGAACCCGTGTCCCCTGCATTGGCGGGCGGACTCTCAGCCACTGCGCCACCAGGGAAGCCCCTATTTGGTACTTTTGATACTTCCATTAACTTCAACTTAACTATTCCCTTTCCAAATATGAAATTTAAAATTGTCAAGCTATTTATAAAAAGATGTGTAATTTATTTCCAAAAAAAGATGTGTAATCTTTTACAGACATTTTGTTGGTCCAGCACTTCAGCAATTTTCAGGTAGAGATGCTCCCCAGCCGTTGACTTAGTAGAGAGAGGGATCATTGTGGAGCACCCAGATTTTATGAGTGGATTTCTTGGGGTCTCTCTTTCTAATCTTGTTGGAAAGAAGGCACCCTTATCCTCAACCGAGTGAGAGAGTATATGTGTGCATATATTCATAGAAAGCCTTGTGGGAGTATGCCTGCAAAAGAGCATGGAGCCTCTAAGTCAGCAGTGTCCAGGATCCAAGTGTGGGCTGTTCAAGACAATAATTGAAATGTCTTGTGGAATTTAAAATATGTAGAACAGGGGGCTTCCCTGGTGGCGCAGTGGTTGAGAATCTGCCTGCCAATGCAGGGGACACGGGTTCGAGCCCTGGTCTGGGAGGGTCCCACATGCCACGGAGCAACTAGGCCCGTGAGCCACAATTACTAGGCCTGCGCGTCTGGAGCCTGTGCTCCGCAACAAGAGAGGCCGCGATAGTGAGAGGCCCTGCGCACCGCGATGAGGAGTGGCCCCCGCTCGCCGCAACTAGAGAAAGCCCTCGCACTGAAACGAAGACCCAACACAGCCAAAAATAAATAAATTTATAAAAAATAAAATATGTAGAACAAAATGCATGACAACACTTACAAGATAAGGTAGGAGAGGGGATAAATGGAGTTAAGTGTACTCAACTTGTAGCACCATTGAGAAGTGAGGTTGTAAGAATTTGTATTAAGCTGTAATAAGTCAAGGATTCATGTTGAAATCTCTAGTCTAACTACTAAAATAATAGTCAAATAATGCATAATGATATCACTAATTATAGTAAATGATCCAAAAAAGAAATTAAATTATTTCCTGACTGGATATAAAAACAAAACCCTGTTTGATGACGTTTACAAGAGACACACTGAAAATTTTTTAAAGACATGGAAATGTTGGAAGGAAAAGGATGGAAAAATATATACCAGCAACCCAAACCAAAAGAAAGTTGGTGCAGCTATATAAATATCAGCCAGGTAGACTCTAAGGCCAAGCACAGCATGTGTTGAACAAGAGTAGAAACACTTCATGAGCAATCAAGGAAGTGCAAGTTAAAAACTCGATACCGTTTCATACCATTCAGATATTTTAACTTATGAAATCAGACATTTGGTGAGGATGTGGAGCTGTAGGAATGAACACACACTTCCCTTTGGGGGGATGTGAAGTACACATTCAATCACTTTCATGATGAAAGCTATGCCTTTCCTACGTCCTAGCAACTCTCCTACTAGTCAGGGCTGAAACTGGCGTGCAGCCTTATCAATGGCTTATGGCCAGCTTCTCTTCTCACTGATGAATACCCATGCCTTATAGCTTGTTAAATATTTAAAATAACATCCCTACCACCATCTATATCCTAGGGAAACTTTTGAACATGTTTACTAGGGAACATGTACCAGAATATATTCTTGATAGCATTTAAAAATAACTTTTCAACAGTAGAAGAGATAAAAATGTTGTTGTATATTCAGAAGAGTGGGACATTTTACAGTAATAATAATGAATGAACTAGAGCTTGACTTAGTGATATGGATGAATTTCAAAACATAAATTGAGCAAAAGAAGCAAGTACAGGAAAATACATATATTATTTATTAATGTCTAAACACCAAATGTGCATCAGCTTGCAAAAGTGGTAAAACCTTAAAGAAAAGCAACAATTAATACAAAACTCAAAACGGGAGGAAGGGGAATTTGATCTTGGAAGGAAACAGCATATCTAAGGCTAAGGTAGTAGTGGGTTCATGGATGTTCGTTTTTATTATTGTCTTTCAAACTTTTACATACTTAAAAAAAAATTAATAAACAGAAACCTCAATCAAACAGAAGTGACCAGAAGGGGGAGCTCTCATGCCCTGAGATGCTGGCAGAGCCCAACAGGAAAAAGAGAGACTCTTCTTCTTTAATGTCAAGGACTCAGCCAATGAAAAGCCATGGACTCTTTGTTTAGCCCTCCCAACTTCCTTTTCCCCTCTGTAAAAGAGAGCGCCTTCCTTTGCTGTGTAGTGACTTGCAGTGACTTGCCATGGTTATGGCCTCCGAATTACAGTTCTCTGCTGATATCAAATAAACTCATTTTTTTTGTGGAGAAATAACTGACAGTCTATTTGTTTTAGGTCATCAATACTCTTTGTAATGTTGAAATATTTCACCATAAAACTAAGGAGTAGAGGAACCACTCATAGGGAGTTTAAAGGGCATGGTACATAGTGTAATTTGATTATTGCAAAGCATACATGGAGGGGTGTAATCTGAAATGTACTTACCTTTTTAGCTTCATCTCCTACCAACTGCTTCAAATATTCTTTCTTTGGAACCACACTGTGTATAAAAATAAGTGAATAATAAGTTTAAAGTGGGCCAGTACTTAAACGCAATGCTTTTTCCCCTTCTTTCTACCCCTGAGTGAATCACTTGCTTTCCCCTCACTACGCCATACTAGTTTATAGTTATGCATTTATGTTGTAGTTTTCTTAGTCAGGAATACCCTTCCCTGCCCTCTGCTGTATGCAAAATTCTATACCTTCTTCAAGTTTTCAAATATTCCCTCTTCTCTGAAACCTTTCCCACTTCCCTCCCCGACACTTCAATCTTCCTTAAGAATTAATCATTCAAAAAAAAAAAAATCATTCCTGCCTCCCTTTGCCTGTGGCACTTAAGGATAATTCCATTTTAACAATTATTTTATAATTAGTTGTTTTTTTAAACTGATTTTTTAACATAAATTTATTTATTTATTTTTGGCTGCGTTGGGCCTTCATTGCTGTACGCGGGCCTTCTCTAGTTGTGGCGAGCGGGGGCTGCTCTTTGTTGGGGTGTGCAGGCTTCTCATTGCGGTGGCTTCTCCTGTTGTGGAGCATGGGCTCTGGGCGTGTGGGCTCAGTAGTTGTGGCACGCGGGCTCTAGAGCACAGGCTCAATAGCTGTGGCGCATGGGCTTAGTTGCTCCGCAGCATGTGGGATCTCCCCAGACCAGGGCTGGAACCCATGTCCCCTGCAATGGCAGGCGGATTCTTAACCACTGCGCCACCAGGGAAACCCCTAGTTGTTTAAATATATGCTCCTTTCCCCTATACCTTGCATCCTGATTGTCAGTTATTTAGAGCAGGAATCTGGCTTTATCTGTGTTTGTTTACCTATCACACAGCACAGTGAGTGACACATGGTAAGTATTAAATGTAAGAAAGTATGACTATCTCAGCTTGCTTATCATTACCAGAGGTGTTTAGTAAATGAAATAAGGTGGAAAAGTCAGGTCGCGGCCATATTGTATCGGATCTCCTATATTAAGGCAAGCGTTTAGATTTTATTCGGTGAGCATCCCGGGAATCATTTAAAGTCTTTGAGCAGTGTTTCCAGAAGATTAAACATAGATTGGAGGTGAGGGACTATTTAAGAGACAATTATAACAGTGCATCTAGAGGCAATAAAGACTTGAACTATAGTAAAGTCAATGCTGAGAAAGATAAAACAATTAAAAGGGTCTATGATGGTGCTTCTCAAATTTTAACATGCACACCAATCACCTGTGAATCTTATTAAAGTACAGATTCTGACTCAGTAGGTCTCGGGTGAGTCCTGGGACCCTGCGTTTCTAATAAGCTCATAGCTGGTGCTGTAGACCCATGCTGTCCAATATGGTAGCCTTTAGCCAGGTGGCTGTCAAGCACTTGAAATGTAGTTAGTGCAACTGAGGAACTGAATATTTTATTTTAAGTAATTTAAAATTAAAAACGGAAACAGTGCAAAATATTTCTCCATTAAGCAAAATTTTGTTGTTTTGGTGAGACTGCATTTAAAAGAAACCATATAGTACATTTATTACGTTAACATTTAACATATCTATATCATACACTGTCACGAAATAGTAAGCCTCCCTGCCCACCACAATGACGTCTCATCAGAACATCTACAACTCTATGAAAGGCCTGAGGTACTAACTGGACGCTGCTCAAATGTGATTTACTCAAAATCCAGGACCTAATTATATGCATTAGGAAGCTGAACCTCACAGTTTGCAGAGGGCAGGCGCTCTGCGGGAGGGAAAAGTCTTCGGATGGATAACGATAAGGATAAGGAGGAATTCCAGGACAGCTCCGGAGCCGGATCCACGGAACGATTGGCCGGCTGCGGCGACGCGGCGAGTGGTCGAGAGGGTGCACCCGACTGCGCCTGCCTCGCCCAGCGGCGCCCCTCTGCGGCCGTTGAGCCCCTCGGTGCAGGTGCGCGCGGCACTCGCCTCGGGCCGCCGGCTTTTCCCCGCCCACGGCCGCACGCGCATGCGCAGTTACCAGTCGCTGCTGGGCGGCCGCCGGCGGGATTGCTCTAGGGAGACGCGGGGACCAAGTGGCAGCGACTCGAACATCTGAGCTGCCACCGCCGAAAACGGGCCCGCAAGGCAGGTGCGTGGGCAGTAAGCCACTTTCCCGCGTCCCTTTGCCCACGGGCTGGGGTGAGGAATCCGAGTCCTGGCTTCTTCCCTCGGGGCTGGGGTTCCTGGGCCGCACCCCTTTCTTTGGCGAGCCGCCAGAAGGAACCGGTAGGGGCCAGTGAGGGGGTGCGTGTTGAGTTCGGGGATGGGGATGCAGCCAGCGAGGTTTTTGGGCGGGCTCTCCTGGCCTCGGGAGTGGAAAGGCCGGCCCGGGCGGCGGGCGTTGAGGCCACCTCCGCGTCCGTTGGGTCCTCCGGAACTGCTGTGTCTGGAGCGGGGGCTGGCGCGGGGAAGGCCAGGTGTCCCCCTCAGCCTGGCCTGTCCCCGTCGGTTAAGAGGCCCCAGGGAGCCGGGTCCGTTATTCCAGCGGTTGCCATTTCAGCCCCGTTCCACGCTCGATCCCCGCTGCGCGCTCCCGAGGGATGGAGAAGGGGCGCGGTAGCCTCTCGGCGCCGCTCACTCCGCCGGCTACTTCTCACAAAAACGCGAACCAAACCAAAATAGGCTCAGCTTACGCCCCCCGCCCCGCCTTTGTAAAGGCGAAGGGACCTAACCCTCACAGAGGTGTGTCCTGTGACTCGCGGCCGCTCCCTCGAGGCGATGCCTGGAGCCCGGTGCGCGCGGATAGGGAGGGCCCTAGAGGGTTGTGTTGAATCCCACGAAGCCCTGAGGACTCGAGACTCATTATCCCCGAAAGCCTGTTTACGATGATCAGATACTTGAGCTGATTTTATTTATAGCATCTGCCTGAGAAACAAAGAGGATGGAATCTAAAAAAAAAAAAAGGTCATGAAGAACCTAGGGGCAAGACGGGAGTAAAGATGCAGACCTACTAGAGAATGGACCTGAGGACACGGGGAGGGGGAAGGGTAAGCTGGGACGAAGTGGCATGGACATATATACACTACCAAACGTAAAACAGATAGCTCGTGGGAAGCAGCCGCATAGCACAGGGAGATCAGCTCGGTGCTTTGTGACCACCTAGAGGGGTGGGATTGGGAGGGAGACGCAAGAGGGAAGAGATATGAGGATATATGTATATGTATAACTGATTCACTTTGTTATAAAGCAGAAACTAACACCATTGTAAAGCAATTATACTCCAATAAAAATGTTAAAAAAATCACTGTAGAATTAAAAAAAAAAGCAAATGGCAACAAAGCTCAGAAGGGAGAAAGTAAATCGAGTGGCTATGGGAAGACCTCTCTAATTAGAAGAGAGTTATTTTATACTGAAGTTTTTGATGCATAAAAGCCATCAAAACCCTGATCTAGCCTTCTGAATTTGCTTGCTTTAAAATTTTTACGTCACTCTAGGTCCTTTAATCACTCTCGGTAGCCCTCCTTTTGGTAGTTGTTTGACTTCTTTTCAGTTTACAGTTTTGTCTTTATATCTAATTGGTTTGATCTTCCAGTCACGTTTAGACCTTATCTCTAAATCCTTCCGAAGATAGTCTTTATCTAGTTAATAAAGTTAATTATTGAGTGTGAATGATGCATGTTAATGGATCCGTAGAAGCTGAACAGTGCTATAAATTGACCTGATTGCTTGTTTTCAGTACCTAATAAGTTTTAGTGCTCTTAACTACAAAGCTACAATGGAACTTTAGATCATCCAGGTTAAACTTGGATGAATCCTTAAACTTGACAAATGAAAAAAAAGGTTTAGAACATCCTTAAACTTGACAAATGAAAAAAAAGTTTAGAACATTCTTAAACTTGACAAATGAAAAAAAAGGTTTAGAACAGTTTGAAGCCCTTCCCTTTTTAATAACAGAACAGTAAACTTGGTGCTATGGTGCCAAGCTCAGTGTACTTTCTATTATATTATTTTGTAGTTGAGCTCCTGAAGCTGCATGACAACTAAAACTTTAAATCGTGATTTTTCAAACACTACTTTTGAGCCATAGTGGTGTTGGTGAGTCCTCAGTCAGCCATTAAAACCGAATAGCAGAAAGGCATTCAGTTATAAGAAATAGTATATAGAAAGCATGAATGTGTTAATAGGTGAGTGTTAAGAGTAAGAAATGAGTCTTAAAAGGGCAGAATTTATACTGAGAACTACAGACAACTATTGAACATTTTTATAAATAGGTAATAAAGTAAGACTTGTTCTTTTTTAGAAAATTCATGCTGGAGAGAAGGTGGCAGATAGATTGATTGATTGGGAAGGCTGGAAGTGAAGAAGCAAAGTCAAAGTTTACTGATCTTTTTCGGAAACCATGGATTCCCAAATTAAGGCTGTGGCATGGATGTAGAAAGATACATTCAAGAAATATCCAAATGCACTTAGTTACCAATGATACAGGATATCAATGAGAAAGAATAATCTTAAGATAGTGGCAAAGCAACTTGGCTAATTTGGTTGACTGGAGGTGAAGGTAATGGGAGAAGGGAATTGAGGAGATAGAGAACAGGTTTGGGAGGAAAGACCAGCCTCAAATTAATGGAGGCTTTGGTACATCCTTGAAGATGGATAGTGATTTGAAACTAAAGAGTGGCCTCTGTGCTGTGGAGATAACATTTGGGAGTTTGTAGGTAGCTTTTATAGGTAGAAGTCAAGAGTATATGAAATGTAAGGAGAAAGTCTGGGGACAGAACCCTAACGAACAGCAACATTTACAGGAGATTAGAGAAAGAGCCCGTGAAGGTGGCAGAGCAAATGAAGAGAATCAAGAATCAGGAATAGCATCATAAAAGCCACGGGAGGAGAGGGCTTCAAGGAGGCAGTAGCAAGGTCAAGAGAGAGCAGTAGGCAATGGGACTGAAAAATGCTATTGCGTTTACCAGCTGAGACGTGGTTGGTAGAACTGTTTCAAAGCTAGAATCAAGTACAAGAATGATAAAAGTATTAGTTTTTCATTGTTGCCACACCAAACTTAGCAGCTAAATGCAGCACAAATTTATTTTCTCACAGTTCTATAGGTCAGAAGTCTGACACAGGTCTCACCGAGCTAACATCAAGGTGTTGGCAAGACATCATTCCTTACTAGAAGCTCTGGAGAGATTCCGCTTCCTTGCTCATTCGGGTTGGTTGCAGAATTTACTTCCTTTTGGTTGTAGGACTGAGGTTCCTGTTTCCTTGTTGACTGTCAGCTGAGAGTTGTTTTCAGTTTCTAGAGACCACCTACATTCCTTGGCTCATGCCCCCCTTCCTCCATCTTCAAGATCTCTATGGTGGGCGGAGTCCCTCTCACTCTTCAAATCTCTTCTGTCCTCTTTCACTGACTTCCTCTTCCACTTTTAAGGGCCCATGTGATTATGTTGGGCCCACTTGCATAATATGGAATACTGTCCCTATTTTAGGGTCAGCTAATTAACAACCTTAATTCCATCTAAAAAGCCCCCTTTGCTATGTGAGGTCACGCTCACAGGACCCAGTGAATAGGGTGTGGACATCTTTGGGGGGTCATTGTTGTGGCTACCATAGGAAGTTAAAAGTACTAACAGTTCATGGATACATTCTTTCTAGATGCTTTTGTTAAGGAAAGGTGATACCTAGAAACATTTACATTATGTACCATGTGATAATTATAGTCAATAGTAAGCCTTACTGTTTATCCTTGAGTTTTGTAACTAAGAAATGCAAGTATCTTCTTAAATACTCTGAAATTTCTGTGAACACTATAAAATTTTAAAGTCTCATAGGAGTATAAGGTAATACAATGAAGTTGTTAGTTTTTATATTTTTATGTAGCCTTAAGCTGCTTTAAAATCTTTGCTGGAAAGATTTTAAACGCCATTTAACCAGCTAACTAGATATATGTGCATAAAATATAATTTGGATACACATCAAAATATGGCTTTTAAAATATAAAGCCCACAGAAACTGGAATGGATGTCTAAAGGATGGAACATACTAACAAAATATTTAACCTTGTATTTTATAGGCCTAGAACCTCACTGCCATTTAGTGAGTTAAATTGTTAAACCTTCTAACCTTACAGCCTTAATGAAAGGAATGTAGAGTTTGAATAGACCTAACTTTGAGTCTTGCCTTTGTTGTTTATTAGCATTCTGTATTCTTGAGTAAGTTACTTAACCTCCCTGAGCCTTGCTTTTCTTATGTATAATGGGGTACTAATACCTTCACCGCAGAGTAGCTGTAAGGATTGGAATTAACATGTCTGAAACACAGTAAATACTTGAAACAGCACTTCCTGTTCTCCTTGTTCCATTCCTCCCTTTTCAGTTCCTTTCTCAAGTGCAGCTTCTTTTGCCCTTGGCCTAGGGGAATCAGTCCTTTGCATCCTTTGCACCTCACTTTGAATGTAACTTTCTCAAGGAGACTTTCTCTGCCCCTTCCCCTACCCTATAAATTCAGTTCCCCAATTACCAACTCTTACAACTTCTTTACTAGTCTGTCACTTGTTACAGTTTACGTGATATACCTGGGTTATTTGTTTAATGTCTGATTTCCATCCCAGACTATAAGCTCTTTGCAATCAGGGGCCATGTGTGTTTTACTAATTACTGTAAATTCAGTGTCTAACATCATGCCTGGCACATAATTGACAACCATAGGCATTTGTCAAATGAATTTGTGAATGATGAATTTTATTGTCTACTGGCTAACCTCTCTTGAATTTCTGGAAACATCAGCCACCACAAAGTTAATAAATCCCTGGTGCAGCTTATTCTGAAGGATGCTCATTTCTTCTGTGAGAAAGTACCTGCATTTCGAATGGAGTCTTTGGAAGAAGGCTGCCTCTTTAAGATGCCACTATTACCTACCTCTCCACCGTATTTGTGATCCTTCAAAGTGAACTTTCTATGTGCTACATAGCCTACATAGCCAGATAATTCCAAGAATACCCTTTAATTTTGGTGAAAATTTGTCCAGTTTTATTTTTCTGATGTGGTAACACAGAATTTTTTCATCTAATTTTTTTGTTTACTGTCTTTTCTAGTAAATTATGAATTGAGTTGTTAAAATGCAGCATGTCTACAGCAAGATTCTGAAATAACTCAC